TTGAGGAGTTTACAAAAATAGCAAAAAAAGAAAAGCCGAGAACATATCCACCAGGGTCCAATTTCCACTTTTTTTTCTTTGCAAATATTTAAACCACACAAGTTGAGTTTTTTAAAATTGTTTTAAAAATTAAAAAATATTTAAAAATAAAAATAAAAAAAATAAATGAATATGTATGTATTTCTTTTAGTTTTTGCATTAATTTAAATTTATTTTTTACTCCATTATTTTAAGTATTTTTATAATTAATATTTACTTTTTGTTTTTTAAAAAAATAATCCTCTATTGAATTTAACAAATGATTATAGGAACAATAAAATATGTACTTATGTATATTAAATATTAAAATTAATAAGTAATTATCTTTTTTGTAATAACACAAAAAGACAGGAATGAATGATTATAAGAATCCTAAATTTTATTTAAATATTAGACAGCCTCTACCTAGTATTTGTCTAATTTTTTCAATAAAAAACTGTTTTTTAAGCTTAAAACCGTTTTCAAATATGTTTAGATCATGTTAATTTAGAATAGTTCCTCTAGTAATAATTAATAGAGTCAATTTTCGTATTTCAAAAAAAATATCTCTTTTTTAAAAAAAACAATATTTATTTAAATTCAAAAAAAATAAAAGTAAATAAAGGCTAATATAAAATTATCAAACAAAATAGCCAAATATCCTTTTTTATTTCTCCTTTTTCTGTGTGGGCGAATTTGTAAAATATTCTCTACAATATAAAAATATTTTTCCTATATTTTTATTTTGGACTTAAATAAAAGTCATAAACAACTAAATATTTATTTTATATCAAAACAAAAAAGAAGAAAAACAAAAAAAATTTTTCAAATCCCCAAAGGAATGATCATTCTCGTTTTTCTTTGTTTTTTAAACAATTTTGAAAAACAAATTTAAATGACCTTTCTTTTTTTTAATAAAATGTTCAAAAGCTCCTTTAGAGGAAGTGTAAATAAATAAATAAAAATGTTTATTAACTTTGAATATTTTTTTGTTTTAAAAATTTTTTTCTCAGTGATTTATTCTGAGAGTTTCAAGTTATTTTCCAACATTCTCAGTAAAATCTACAAATTATTATTTTAAACTTTATATCCTCCAAGAGATTGATATCAGCCTAACTTTTTTCTTGTAGAAAACGTTTCGATTTTTTTCGATTTTTACCTAAAAATCATCCATTCCTACCCCCCTCCCACCTATCCATTTCTGTACTCCTTCCCTGATTTAACATTCTTTTTTCCTTTAAATTTTTAATTAAAAGTTTAAAAATCAGACAAAAACCATTAAAACCAATATATTTTACTTAAATAAACTTTAAATTAATCACAGATTTTTTTTTTGAATTACTAAGAGAAATTAACTACTTTTTAACTACTTTTAATTAAAATAAAATCCAAACAGACAAATAAATTAATTCCCTTTTTTTGAAAATTAAAAAATCTTAGAAAAACTTTTTTTTCTAATTTTCAACACCTGTTCCTTTAAATCTTTTTGGTTTTGTCAAAAGATTGATGGGCAGAAAACAATAAAGACAATAATAAAATCTATTATTGTTTATTTATTAGAGATAATGTGAGAGAGAAAGTGAATTAAGTAGATTATAAAAACAATTACCTAAATAAAAGATTTGAATACTTTTAATGAAAATTTGAAAATAAATAGGATTCGAATCTATAATCAGTAAATTAACTGATAGTGAAAAATTTTCAGCTAGGCAAACCACTCAATTTTCGCTATCGACATCATCTAGATTTTACTTTGAATAATGTCCTCTCGAAGTTGATTAAATCTGTAAACCTTCATTTCCGTTTTCCTTTTAGAGTTTTGGACCCTTTAAGAGTTTAAACTTCCTTTCTACAACTTCAACTTCCTACATACATATATATTTAAATCCCTCATCATCATCTTTTTTCTAATCCTTCTTAATTATCTATTTTTATTTAAAAAGATATTTAACAACAACTGTCCCTCCTTTAACTCTTTTTTCGTTTGATCATTTTCTTTTTCTTTTTTAAAATCAACAAAAAATATAAAAGAAAAAAAGCGTTAAAAACTAAAAAAATATATAATTACTAAATTAGTGAAGGATTATTTAGCCAATTAAATTTTAAAGGATAAAGAAGACCAATATCATTTTAAAAAATATAGTAGACCAATCGATTTGTGATTTATTCCTTTATTTTCTAAAAATATTTCAAAATTTTTTTAATTTTTAATTTAATAAATTAATTTATAATTTTTAATTGGAAAATATTAATTTAAGGTGTGTAACCTTACAAAAACAGAATATACTATTTATTTTAAAATTATTTAAAATTACCTTTTTTATTTTTTATTGAGTTGACAATTTATTTAAGATTTTTTTCTAAATTTTTATTTATTTAAATTATTTTCTTATATTTATTAAAACGCAACTACTAAAATCACTTACGAAATGTGTGTCTTAAATCCTAAACTTTAAAGTGATTAAGTGTTTATTAAATTTTAATTTTCATACCATGCCAAAAATACTCCAAAAATTGTTTATAAGAATCAACTATCCTCTGTGTGATAACATAAAAATTTTTGGTTTTGAATTCTTAACTATATATCCAGCTTGTTAATTTATTATACTATACATACTAATATATGAAAATTAGTTAAGGACATATTAATAATCTTATTCAGAAAGCCTTTATCTTTACTAAATTAAAAAAATTTTGTTTTTGTATTTAAATTTTTATTTTAATACGATCATTTTCTAAGAAATATAATTTTGGATTAAAAATCTTTTTTTATTTAATATTTTTTATTTCCGTGTTTTAATTTCATTTAAATATTTTTGTAGTTCTTTTTTAATTTCCCATAACAAAAAATAATCTATTAATTAATTAATATACTTATTTCAAAAAACATATGTTTTTTTTAAATTTTATCCTCGATTTTCTTTTAATGACGTTTAATCTAAAAATATTATTTTCACTCTCTCAATTACCTCCTTCCTCCCCCTCTTTTTTCTATCTTTAGTTAATTATAGCTAAATTAGTTATTTAAAGACTTGAGAAATAATTAAATTAAATATTTGCTTTTCACATATAACCACAAAAAGAGATTTATTTTTTTGTTGTTTTTACAGTTAACTCTTGTTATAATAAAGTGAACATTTCTCTTTAAATATAAGTGAATGGCCAGATAATAAGTATATCCGGAATGGCCCCAAGAGTATTAAATATATTTAGAGTCGAGTTTTATGTTTTAAATCTTAAGTCATCCTTAAGTGATCATCCTTATCCTCCCTTAAAAGTGTGGAATGTTTACAAAGAATTTAGAAGGAATATCAAAATAATTCTTTCAAAATATTTTATTAAAAATAAATATTTACTTTTAATTCCCAAATACTTTTTTTGACAATTTCAATTATGTATCTTGTCTTTTTAAAACTTAATTTAGAGTTTTATTTTTAAAAATCTATAACTCATCAAAACTATATTTTTAATTTTAATTTTAAACAAAAAAATCTTCTTTTTTTCAACAAAAAAGCCACAAGTTTTTCCTAAATAAATGTTCGTTTTTGACAATTCTTTTTGTTCTTTTTTTATTTAAAATTACTTATCAATCATTTTTAAAAAATAATTATTATTAAATTCATTTTTGTGGTTAACAACGTTGATTGGATAGAATTTTTTTTGAAGAAGAATTTTTTAAATGTTACTTTTTCTTGAACAAAAAAGTACAAATAAAATATTTATTTATTTATTTTATTTTTCCTTAAAAAATCCTTCTTTTATTTATTTATTAAACCTTTTTAATTTAATTTTTCTAAAAGTTTGTTTTCAATTATTGGAATTCTTCAAAATATAATTAAATTAAAATTTAATTTTATTTTTTATATTTTATTTATTTTAATGTTTTATAAATGATTCGAGATGTTTATCAGTAAATAAACTTCTTAAAAATTTATCCTTTCTAAACTTATTCAATTTTTTATTTAATCCTTTAATATTTATGAATTTATCTAAAGCATTATTGCCATTTAAACTTAACTACGTTTAGATTAATGGATTTAAGCCTTTTCCCAATTTTTTATAAAAATTTTAAAAAATTTAATTTAGTAAATAAAAAACAAATTATCTTATTTCTCGTGACTTTAATCCAAAAAATTATTTTATTTCCCAAATAATAATAAAAAATATTTTTTCTTATTTTTTAGATTATTTAGTCTGTTAATTAACCAAAAATTATTTAATTTTACAAGAATTTTATTTTAAATATTTTTTTTCAGTTTCTCATTTTCAAGGTTTTTAACCTATTCTCCTCAATTATATGTATTTTAAACACCCACAATTTTTTATTTAATTTAAATTACTCATTAGGGATTTTTAGAAAAAAAGCTATAAAAATAAACTTCCAAAAATCTCTGAGTAAAAAAATAAAATAACCTCTCTCTATATAAATATCCATTTTTAGATTTAATTTAGTTAAAAATAGACAAAGTATTTTATTTAATAAAAAAGTTTTTGAAATTGATACTTTTCTTTTTTAAATTAAAAACATAAAAATGGATATATAAAATAAAAAGTTTTAGATATTTGGGTATTAAATAAATAAAAACATTTTTAGAAACTTTTTTAGTTAAATTTCCAAAATATTTTTAAAATTCTTTAAAGCCTACAATTCATCGAAGGGTGAATTTTTATGAGTTTTTAGATTTTTTTCTTAATTTTTGGACCGTCACTTTCTCAAAAAAACCGTCACATCAACAAAAATCCTTTAATTTTGAAATCTCGTTATTGGACAAACTTTGATTATCTCTGAAATTAGGATAATCAAAAACTTTCTAACTTTTAAAGAATTAAATTGGTTGTTAAATTAGTTTCCAAAAGAAAAAAAACGAAAACTTCTTAATTTTAGTCTTGTTTCCATTTATTTATTTTTAATTAATAATTTTAAAATTATTTTCATTTAAAAAATTTTTTTAGAAATTAATTAAATTAAATTTTCTTAAAAAATGCATTCACCGCCTTACAATTTAACCAACAACATATTTTCCTCTTTATTTGATGAAGAACAAATCCCTTCCTCTTCAATTGTTGTTAATGATATAGTTAATGTTGATAATTGGGAATCTAAACAATTTAATAATAATAATACAACAACAACAACAATTAATCCTTCCCCTGTTTGTATTGAACGTTATGATTATTATGAATCTACAGAGTGAGAAAATATACATATTTAATCTCAATTAAAATAGCCTTAAAATAAAACAAAAATAACCTAACCGGCAAGGAGGGAATCTAGGCAGGAAATAAGTAGGAATCCATTATCCAAGTTTAGCGTCTATGGAATTTTTAGAGAGGGATTTTGGCATGTCTGTGTTTCATTTGAGGACAGTCTTCTAAAATTTAATTACATAACAGAACACTAATAAACAAAATTTCGTAGCTCGTTTTAATTTCAAAAATTATTTCACAATTTATATTTTAATTTAATTTAAATAGAAAATGGCTTTTGGGTGTTTTTGCTCTCCCATTTATTCTTTGTGGATTACTTGCCAATGGAATGTCTATATTAATTTTTTCTAATAGACATATGCGAAAACAATCTGTTAATTGGTACTTACTCGTTCTTGGTATATTCTAAATTAATTAAAAATTAATTTTTTTAAAATTTATTTAAAGGGACAAGCGATTTTGTTATTTTATTGGGTGCTTTTTCTGTTCTAACATTACCTCGATTAAGTGAAATACTTGTTTGGTGGACAGGCACAGCAATAAGGCCAGTAATATATTAAATAAATATGTAGATTAATTAAGTTTTTATCCTGTATACACTCGGTAAAGATTTCCCTATACAGTGTTGGATCTCATTATACTCTATACCCTTGAGGCTCAAAAAATTCTAAACTAAAATGAGATGTACTATAATCTCCATCTTATTTTTGACTAATTTTCCAATACTCCGAGACCTAAAAAATCTAAGAGGTTAAGATTCAACACTAATTGTAATCTCTTTGTCGTATTGGCACACATTGAATGTACTTGATTCGTTCATAGACTTGATTCGTTCATCTGTCCTAATCTCAATGTAGTTGCGATTTTTTTCCTAGTTTCTCTCTCAAAAATCATCTCAGCCAAAAGAATTTCCGAAATGCCCTGATATGTAAATACCAAATTTATTTTGCTCCTTTTTCAGTTATTATGTTACCCCCGTTTTCTATGCACTTATGACAATGGCACAAACTATAAGGTAAATAAATATATTTTTATTTTTTAATTAAAATTTTTTGAAGTGTTTGGATGACAGTAGCAATGTCTTTACACAGATTTATTGGAGTATGTTTTCCTTATCAATCCGGACGTGTTTTAACTGCAAGAAATGTAAAAGGAATTATTGGAGGAGTTATTCTAACTGCTGTTTTATTTAATATATTCCGATTTTTTGAAGTAAAAAAATTTTTTTTAATTAAAATTTTTAATTCAAAAAATATTTTTAAGGTAACATTCGAAGTTTGTTGGATGGAGCCAATAGGCGTTGAATTACCCGTTCTTAGAATGACTGCATTAAGACAAAATGAATTATATCGAAAATTATTTTATGAATGGGCATATACTTTGGTAAAATAAATTTTATTTTTTAATAAAAATTTTTAAAAGATTATGTTTGTTGTTCCTTTTACTGTTTTAATTGCCGTTAATTCAATGGTTATTGGAGCTATTCACAAGTGAGTAAAAAATAAATATTCGAAAATACCGTAAATATAATCCCTGGGCTTATATTTTTCAATGGGTCCCTCAAATTAAACAATTTAATTTGTGAATAATTAAATTGCATTTTCTTTCTCTAAAGTTTAATTATTTTCTTGTAATAAACTTTACAAATTTTTGTGTAATTTTATCTCCTTAAAATATTAAAAACAAAAATTTTTTATTAAATTTTAATTATTTTTTCAGATCTCGAAAAATCCATGCCAAATTAAATGTACGTGAAGGAAATGGTGCTAGAAAACAAGAATTAGCTAAAGAAATAAGTACTTCTATAATGGTAATTAAATATTAATTTTTTTAAAATTTTTAATTTTCTTTTTCAGCTTGTTGCCATTGTTATAGCATTTCTTCTATGCAATACTTTGGTAAAAAAAATGATTTTTTGGAAAATATTTTAATTTTATTTTTCTAGGCATTTGCAGTCAATTTATTAGAAAAATTAGATTTTCAAGGATTATTGTATATTCGATTAGTTCCTTGGTCTAATTGGCTTGTTTTGTGTAATGCAAGCATTAATATTTGTATTTATTGTATATTTTCTGAGAGATACAGAGCCTTATTATTTTATTATTTACGATGTTTTAAAAGAAAAGGAGGAGGAGGAGATATTAATAATCAAAATAATATTGGATTTAATGGAACTTCAATGAGCTTTTTATAAATTAAAAAGAAAAAAAACAAAAAATATTTTGCTCAGAAATTTTTAAATTTTACTTGAAAATTTGTACTAAAATTAGGTTTTATCTCATATTTTTTTGCATAATTATTATGTAATGTGATAAATTAAACAAACATACCTAATTATATTTTTTTAAATAAAAGTTTTTTATTTAATTTTTTGAAAATTTAATTGGAAATATATTAGTAAGGATTGGATTTTTAGGCTGTAAAAAATAAGTCCTGGGCAGACCCGCTCATTAAGATGCCTGAGGGTTTCCGCCGTATATACCCGAATAACGGATACCAAAGTCCGTATCCACAAGCTAGTCTGCTGGAAACTATATTTGATCTAGAAAGTTGAAATGACAACTGATTTTAGTGAATGTTCATAAGCGATATCCTAGCCAACGGGGTCAGTGCAATAATTTTTTTAATTTGTAAAAATTTCTAAAAAGGAAAATATAAATTACACTGATGCCTCAGTAATTCAACTCTTTATATTATTTCTTAACGTTTAATCTTTTGAATAAAAATTTTTCGCTCGTTAAAAACATTCGAGAATTAAAAGGGTTATTTCCTTCAATTTTACCTTTCTAATTTTGACAAAAAATTTTGGCGAATTGTCCGTTGACGAATTGTTCTCTGGCAGAATGTCCGTTGGCGAACAGTCAGCTTGTCTTAAAATAGTTTTGGTTTTTTGTAATTTTTTGTTTTATTTTTTCGTTAGGCGTTAAACTTTTTGTTCAAATACTTCCGATTTTTTTTTGATAATTTTAAGGTGTTTATTAAATTTAATTGCAACTTTTAATAAGAAAATGAGTCAAGATCAAAGTGAGGGTGAGGAGATTGTCAAAACGATTCAAAACTTGGGTAATTTTTGTTCGAATATGATTTTTTTCTGAATATATTTTCAGTTGAAAATGAGGAGGTTTTGCGTGCCAAAATTTCATTTGCAACTATTGTTGAACAGAGTAAAAAGATTGTTTTCTGCACTTAACTAATCCGACTTTTTTAAGAAATGAGCGAGAAATTGGAACAGCTTCGTGTTTCAAGAAAAGAGGAGAAGGACAAAATGGAAGCTCAAAAGAAACAAATTGAAGTTTTGGAGAAAGCTCGTTATTATGCTGTGTGTCATGAACATAAGTATGATTTTTGAATTAGATTTAAGCTTCAAAACTTTTCTAGCGTTGAAACAGAGCTGAAACGAAAGCGGACTGTTATGGGCGAATTTAAAAAGCTTGTTGAGAGTACTAGTGCGGTTAGTATTTGAGGTTAATCTTGTTTTATTTATAATTTCAGGCTGATCTGTCCTCGGAAGTTTGTGAATTGGATTTGATCAAGGAAGATTTTCGTAGTCAAAGGGCTCGCGCTCCATGGCTTCCTGAAAAACAGGCAATTTTGGGAGAATTAAAACATCACGAAAATGAACTTGCTCGTCTTCAAAATGAAATTTCTCGTACTGATGGACTTATTTCTGAACGCGAGGATTTATTGGCAAAACACAAGCAGCTTCCATTCAAAAATTTTTGTGTTACTTTGGCGAATTATTTGCATAAGACGAGACAAATGGATAATGCAATGAAGAATGAGCTGAAAATTCAGGAAACGGTATGATTTTATAAAAAAGCGAAGACATATCTTTTATTTTATTTGCAGCTTTTGGAAAAGACAAAAAGATTGGAGCATGAGGCGATTCAAAAATCAGGGATTAATCAAGACGAGGAAATTGATGTTGTTAATGTTCAGGAAGTTGTTGAGAAGGCTCCAGAATCTAATGTTGAACGTGTTGTAAACCATTCTCCTGCTGTTACAAACCGTTCGCCTGCAATTGCTGTTAATCAATCTCCTGTGCTTATCAATCAATCGCCTGCAACGGCTGATTTGTCCAAAATTACTCAACGATCGAAATTTACTCCAGATCCAATTGAAAAACACAGGAATACTCCAAATAGAGTTTGATTTTATTTTTAATTTCTAATTAATTTTCTTCCTTTTTTCAGTCTGTTACGGATATTATACAAACTGGAACAAACGATGAGCAAGCTAATAATGTGATTGAACAAGATGATGATCTTTTGATGCATTTTAATGGAATTGATGTCTTTCAAACCGGTGGTAATGAAGAAGGTGATGATATTATTCCAGCTGGCGGTGTGACTTCAAACTTTTCTTTTGGTTTCAATTTTAATTCGCCAGCTCGTGGAGAGACAACTCATAATAAGGATACGCAGAATGAGGAAACTTTTGGGTTTAATTTCAATTTTTAATTTAATTTTAAGAATTTATGTTGCTTTTAGTTTTTTGCTTTTATTTTTTGATTTTATTTTGTTTACTTTAAACTTTTGGTGTCTTTGTTGATCTATTACTGTTATAAATTTTTTGCTTTATTTTCTTTTTTCTTAGTTTTTTACTCTAAATGCTTTAACATTGCATTTGTATTTTCTTTAAAATTTTATCTTTTCGCTGTAGTCAGTTCAGTTTAACATTCGACGAGAACATCATTGATTGCGACAATCACTAGGGCCAACCTAATCTTAGATAAAAAAAACTGACCTGGCACGGAAACGTCGGCGCGGAATCGTCCCTAACCGAACTATTCTCCTGTCTCCTCGTTTTATACACTATTTTCGCCCAAAATTCGGCATTTTCTAAGGATTCGGTTTTCTGAATTTGTTTATGAACTATTTAATTACTTATATTTAAGATTCTGTCGAATTAATGAATATTGATACTGCGGCTCAACAGGCCTTGGATATTTTTTCTATTGGATCCGAAAGTAATCAAGCCGGTGCTTCTATTACATTACACGATCATTTAAATCGTTGCCGATCATCATCAGGGAAACGTTTAATTCGTATGTTTTTACAGTTTGTATATTTTTTTAAATTTATTTCAAGGTGATTGGCTTTGTCATCCACTTATTTCTCTTCCTCAAATTGAACAGAGACTCGACATTGTTGAAGCTTTTTGCTCATGCCCTGCTGTACGACAATCTCTTCATGAAAATTTACTTCGGCGCATGCCTGATATTGGACTTTTAACTCGAAAATTGGAACAAGGGAAAGCAACATTATCAGTAATTTAATTTTTAAATTTAAAAATTTTTTATAATTATTTTTTTCTGAGGATTGTTATAGACTTTATCAAATGGTTATTTTAATTAAAAGAATCAGCCCTTTATTGTCTTCAGTGCAAACAGGTGTAACTGAAAGGATTTTTGCTTCGATAAACGAATTAATTTTAGTTAGTTTTCTCTAAATTTGTTCATCCATTTATTGATTTTTAAAGGAAAAAGTCCAACAAAGCATTGTTGATTTACGCCGATTTGGTCAATTAATTGAAAATACACTCGATTTCGATTATTTTGAACAAAATGGGCAACACAGAATTCAACCAAATATTGATCCAAAATTGCAAGAAATTAGTAAGAAAATTGATGGAATGAATGAAGAAGCACAAAATTTGCGTAGAAAAATGGCAGATAATGCAAAATGTGAAGTAAAACTGGAATCTAACTCAGAATTAGGATTTTTCTTGCGAGTCACGTTGAAAGTACATAACTTTTGTGGTTTTTAAAATATTAAAAAAAAAATTTTCTAGTCAGAAGGTTCACTTCGTTCTGTCAATGGCATTCGTGTTATCGACAGCACTAAGGGAGGAGGAGTTCGTTTTTCTACCTCTAAACTCGATCAACTTAATACACAATATTTGGAATTGCTCTCTTCTTATGAATCAAGTCAACAAGAACTGACGAAAATTGTTATTTCGACTTGCGGTTTATTTACAATTTAAGAGATTTTTAAATTTGCTTTTTTTTCAGCGGGTTATATACCGGCACTTAAATTATTTGATGACTGTATTGGTGTTCTTGATGTTTTAACTGCATTTTCAATAGTAACTGCTACCTCGGCAACTCCTTATGTTCGACCAAAAATTCTTGAAAAAGGTAATACAATTAAACAGCTCAAAACATTCTCAGAAATTTATTTAATCCTTAAGGAACGGGTGTGCTAGATTTACGTAGCTGTCGACATCCTACAGTTGAACGGCTCCCAAATATGCATTATATACCTAATGATGTCCAACTTGGTCAAAATAATGATGGACAAAATTCTGCCAGTTTTATGATTCTTACAGGTTTTTACTAGGCAATTATCAATTTAAAAAAAGTCTTAAAGGAGCAAATATGGGAGGAAAAAGTACTTATTTGAAGGCTGCAGCATTGACAATTTTTCTAGGTCAAATTGGGTGTTTTGTGCCTTGTGAGATGGCTAGTTTTTCAATTGTCGATGGAATTTTTACAAGGTCTATAAAGAATTTAACCTGTTCAAAATTTTGTTTTTTAGAGTTGGAGCGGGTGATTTTCAATTCAAAGGGATTTCAACGTGAATTTTTTTTAATTTAAATTGTCAATGATTCGTCAATTAAAATATAGATTTATGGCAGAAATGATGGATTGTGCAACGATTTTGGAACGAGCAACACCAAATTCTCTTATATTAATAGATGAACTTGGACGAGGTACAAGTACTTATGATGGCTTTGGATTGGCATGGGCAATTTCTGAGTAAATATTTTTATCGAAAAACGATAAAGATTTAATTTTTAGGGATATAATTTGTCGTTTAAATTGCTTTACTTTATTTGCAACTCATTTTCACGAAATCTCAAAACTGGAAAAACGCTATCCTGAAAAAGTAAAAAATTGTCGAATGGACACATTTGTTGAGGATGGAAAATTGGTTATTTTATTTCAAGTAATGCAAGGAGTTGCACAAAAATCGTTTGGATTAAGTATTGCTCAAATTGTTGGTTTTTCAAAAGAAATTTTGGATGTAAATATTTTTTAGATTATTCAAAATTTTTTAAATTTTATTTTTAAGGATGCGGAAAATATATTAATTGAATTGGAAGGGAAATGTATGGCAGAAAATTCTGAAGGATAAAATAGGAATTGAAAAGAGGGAATAAGATTGGATTTATTATAATTTATTTTTGAATGTTTTTTTGATTTTCATGGTGAATTTTTGAGAAAATTGATATATAGTTAAAGGATTTTTTTGTTATTTGTTCATATTCTCTATTATATTTTAAATAGAAAATAATTTTTAAATTTCTAAATTTAGGATCATTAGTCTTGAAATTTAAAAAATTATTTAAATGCGCTTCACAAATATTAGGATGGGTGGTGGTATTGGGCAGGAGTTGGGTAAATTCACAAAGGTTTTTCAATATTTAAATATAAACTTAATTTTTAATTGCAGGCATATGGCTTCTATAGAATTGCTTTGGCACCAAATGAGCAAAAAGCTTGGAAGGGATTCTTCATTGGGTGTTGGAAGGTTAGAGGTTTTTTAGTTTTAATTTTCGTTAGGAGTAGGCAAGCCTTCATTGAAATTGATATCTGATGAATTTTAGAAATCTATGTTAGATTGTCTTATGTATGTTAGATGATACATCTATTCACTAGCTTTATTTTTCGAGTCCCTAAGTTTATAAAATAAGTTCATAAAATCTTAATTAAAAATTTTTTTTAATAATTTTGCTTTTTGTGTTAAACTTTTAAAATTTAGCCAATAAGAGAGCATGGCCGTTATTGGTGGACGTGGGCTTTGCCAGGAACTATTTATTACTTAGTTTATGCTAACGCCAAAGAAGCACATGAGAAATGGCGACGTGAAAAGCACCATTAAGAATTTGGAATAAATTTTTGGATAGAATTGTGTTGAAAGGAAAATTGATAGGATGAATTAAAGATTTTTTGACTATTTATATCGTAAATGAATTAAATATTGTTAGAAAAAAATAATTTTGTGAAGTAAAGAGAAATAAAAAAAGTCTTAAATATTCTTGGGTGAAGGGGCAAAACGAGGATTTTGGTAAGTCTTTGTTTCGGCAAAACCGTGCTTTGTTCGAACGCGTTTTGTCTGTGTTTTGTCCATTCTGCGTTTTAGCCCGAAACGATTATTCTTGCTCCCTTCCAACCCGATAGAATAAGTTAATTTTAACCAAAAGAATGTTTAAAGTTTATTCATAGGTCATAAAATTTGTGCAATTCCCTTCCTTTTCATTCAATCATTTACATTTCTTTTCTTTTTTTGAATAATGTGCATTAGTTTAAAAAATTAAAATAAAAGACATTTACTTTCTCATCTGCAATTTATTTTTAATTTATTCACATTTAAAAAATGTCGTCCATATTTTATAAAAAAAATGATTTTTTGAAATGAATAAACACTTTCTCATTTAAGTCCACATTCCTATTTTCTTATCTAGTTTGGTGCATCAGTAATTTCTTTTTGTTGTTAAAATCCTTGAGAAAGTCACACTCAATTTGTCTATTTTTCTTATTGTTAGACTCGATTGGCTTAAAACGGTCAATTTCTATTTTTTCTTGTTCCGGAATTCGATTTTTTTTGCTCCTTTATTAATTAACAAATTTTAAAAATAAATTGATTAAATTTTAGAAAATTTTAAAGGAAACTTTTTTGCTTATTATATTTGACATAAATGGAGTCTCTTATTCCAGTTATTAGCAAATTACAAGGTTTTTAAGTTTTCCAAGGAAAGTCATTCATTTTTAGACGTATTTGCGACTATTGGTTGCCGTGGAGCAGATGTTGAGCTTCCTCAAATTGTAGTGATCGGTTCCCAGGTTGAACTCAACACTTTCTTTCTATAGCCATTTATTTAGAGTTCGGGAAAAAGTTCAGCACTTGAGGGAATTGTTGGACGTGATTTTTTGCCGAGGGGCGTTGGTATAGTCACTCGTCGACCGCTCATTCTTCATTTATCTCATTCACCATTGAAGAGTCCATTGCGAGAACAGAAGAAAGGTAGTCTAAATTTGTATTTTATCTTTAGATACTTGTTTTTTAAGCTCCGGCAATTGATGATTGGGCCGAATTTGGACATGCGCCAGGCGTTATTTATACAAATTTTGATGTATCATTTATTATTTTTCTTAATGAACTTTAACAATATTTCCTATTTTTCAGGAAGTTCGAGAGGAAATTGAACGCGAGACAGACCGTTTGACTGGAAGGTATTTCTTATTTTAATTTATTTTAAAATTTTGCCTATTTAGCAATAAGGGCATCTCTCCTGTTGCCATCACTTTGACTATTTATTCGCAAAATGTCGTCAATCTCAGTCTTGTCGACTTGCCTGGTATCACCAAAGTTCCGGTCGGTGACCAGCCGCCTGATATTGAGGTTGAATTTATTTGATGTTAGAAAATTTTATTTGATCATTTCAGGTTCAAATTCGTAAAATGCTTTTCTCTTTTATCTCGAATCCGAATTCGTTAATTCTCGCTGTCATGCCGGCTAATCAGGACTTTGCAACTAGTGAGTCTCTCAAAATTGCTAGAGAAGTTGATAAGGAAGGTATAAAAATATTTAGATTCAAATTTTAACTAAAAAATTTAGGAAACCGAACACTCGTTCTTTTGACAAAACTTGATTTGATGGATCAAGGCACTGATGCTATGGACGTTCTTACAGGGAGATTGGTACCTGTAAAGCTTGGAATTATCGGAATGTGAATTTTTATTTTGTTGATAGGATTTTAATATTTTTCTTTCAGTGTTAACCGATCTCAAGCAGATATTATTGCGAACAAATCAATTAAGGATTGTCTGAAAGACGAATCAAAATTTTTGCAAACAAAATATCCAACTTTGGCTTCTATGAATGGAATTCCCTATCTGACAAAACAACTAAATCGACTTCTTATGGTTTTTACGTTATATTTTTCATATTAAAATTTATTTTCAGCATCATATTAGAGAGTGCCTTCCGCAGTTAAAAATTCGGGTATTTTTTCTTTTTAAATTTTGTTTTTTATTTTTTTACTTTTTCAGATCAACACTTTAATTGTCCACTGCAATACAATTTTACGTAGTTTTGGTGAGGCCGTTGTTGATAAGAATCGTACTCTTTTGAATATAATTACCCATTTTTCTACTGCCTATAATTCGACTATTGATGGGACTGCGAGAAATATCGAGACTACAGAGTTATGTGGTGGAGCTCGTATTTGTTATATTTTTCATGAGACATTTACTCGCGCATTAGAAGATTTTGATCCTCTTGCGAATTTGAACAAATTGGATGTTTTGACAGCAATCCGAAATGCCACTGTATTCTAAATTTATAATGTTATAATTCTATTTACAGGGTTTGCGACCGTCTTTGTTCATTCCCGAAGTTAGCTTTGAATTGTTGGTTAAAAAGCAGATTGAGAGACTTGAGGAGCCAGCGATTACATGTGTTGACTTGGTCTACGAGGAAATGCTTCGAATTGTTCAGCATTGTGGAATTGGTTTATTTATTTAAATGCTTTTTTTAAATGATGTTTTTTGTAGAAGTTCAACAAGAAATGCAGCGTTTTCCGTTTTTGTATGAGCGAATCCATGAAGTTATCAATCATGTTCTTAGCGATCGACTTCCACCAACTAAAGAGTTCTTAAAAACAATATTTTAATTTTATACTTTGTATATTTATATTATTTGAAGGTTTGTTTCGAATCTTGTCTCAATTCAATTAGCCTACATTAATACCAAACATCCAGAATTTGCGTCTGATGCTTCTCTTATAAATTCTTTACAAGGAGCATCTTCTGACGAATCTGTGGCAATAATTACTGAGGTACTAATCTTTCGACTTTTCCGTCACTTTCAATATATTTTTTAAAATAATTTTCCATTTTGAAGAAGGTTCCGGCATCCGAAGCTGATGGAAAAACTGCTTCAGCTTCTTTACCTAATTTGGAAAATGGTACAAACGGCCCGTCTTCTGTTTTTGGGGAATCTGCGTTTTATGCTGACATCCATAATAAAGTTAATCTCAAAAAACTTCATCCAAATTATTGGTTTAATCGCAACTCAAAACAGGCGGATGAAGACTCAGATCTTGGAGGAGATAATGGAACTGCTGACGGTGTTTTAACACGTACTGATAAGACAGTTAGGCGTCCTTTGTCTGTTAGAGAGAAGCGGGATATTGCTGTTATTGGTTTGTTTATCTTTCATTTGTTAAATTTATTTTATTTATTTTAGAGCGTTTAATCAAAGGCTATTTCATTATTGTCCGTAAATCCATTCAAGATTTAGTGCCGAAGGCAATCATGAATTTCCTTGTTAATAATGTGAAGGTTTAGAATTCTCTTTTTTATTTCGTCAAATTTTGTTTTTTTAGGAGAATCTTCAAAGTGAATTGGTTCGACGTTTGTATAATGCTGATGACTTAAATACTCTCCTTTCGGAGAGTGATGCTATCGCTCAAAAACGAGCAGAATCGGCCGAAATGCTTAAGGTTATTTTTTGATTTTATTTTTAAATTAATTACAAATTTTATAGGCTTTGAACAAAGCGAACATGGTCATAAGTGAAATCCGTGAGACTCATATTTGGTAATTTGTTGTTGTTGTCCGCTTTAATAATTGGTAGGTTTTAGCTTTTTTATTAATTTATAATTACATCCAATTATTTAGGCTCAATTTTGATGATCCTCGATTTTATTATTATTTGAAAATTTTATGCTGATGTTTTTCATGCAAGTGACACGGGAGTTTTAAAGAATTTATTATATATTTTTTGGCATTCTTTTAAAACTTTATTGCTTTTTTTTAAATTTTTAAATATTTGCTTTTTCAAATTGTTCTCTTTTGGTTTTATGCTGTTTGTGACTTCACTTATTTATAAAAGAAATATTAATTTTGTATTTCCATTTGTTGTAAATTCCAGACAGTATATTAACCATCTTTCGATTTATTATATTATACTTTTTTTGACCGACAAATTTTTATAAATTTTCATTATTTGAGACTTTTAAGTGTGAGGTTTTAACCAAAATTAGTTTTTTTGTAGACACTTAACACATTTGTAACAGATATTGCAGTTTTTGTAATAGTTCTGATTTTTTTTTCTCCACTTCTTCGAAAATGGGAGTAGCTTGGTATATATTTTTATTAAACATAAAGTTTTCAAGTTGTTTTTATTTTTACAGGGTCTTCGAAACAAATCAAGGAGAACGAGCGATTGTAAGTTATTTGATAGCATTCGTTGTTTTTATAGATTAAAATATTTTGGATATATTTTTTAAGGAATTAATATTCGAGCAGGCCGGTTCTGTTTTACCTCCATCAACTAGCAAACATTTTCGAGTTAATTGTATTTGGTATCGGCCACAACAACACATTGCTGCTTTGGTTATTTTTAAAATTTTAAAAAATATTTTAAATATTATTCAGATAAGCGGTTTTTACGTTATTCATCATTCAAATTTTCCTGATAGTGCTTTTATCATAAATGCAAATAAGCCTGATTCTCGACCGTCGTCTGAAACTGGGAGCGCAGAAAGACCAACGACATCTCGATCACCGGCAGCACCACGTGCTACCGCTGACAAAGGCTTTGAACTACAACTAGATAAATTTCAAAGTGCTGGTCTAACAGGTTTCTGCTATGTAACAAATTATTATAAACATTTCAAAACAATTTTAAAATAAAAATATTTTTATTCTTCTTTAAATTAAGTTGAACCGGCAAAGTTTGAAGTTGTTGGGAATGAGTACCATCTAAAAGACTTTCGTCTTCGAGTTGGGACAGTGACTTTAGGCTCTTCTGTGAAGGTATTGAATTTGAATTTTATCATAATAATATTTTAGGGCACCATTGTTGAAATTGAATACGCCGCTTCCAATATTGTCATGCAATGCCAATCACTTTTGCAAGAAATTATTGACCTTTTCTTTCCCGACCACGGTTTAAAAACCCCAGAAATTTTCCAGAAGCAATGTTCTCAACCAGATAATTATACTGCTATTGATACAGCCCAACAATATCTAGATATATTTTCTGTTATGCGTAAACGATCTTAATTTATTTGATTTTTTGAAAAACGTTCTGTGACTAATGATCGATCATAACATATTTTTATTTATTCTATTTTATCAAAAAGTAAAGTTAATATTTTTTGCTCATGGATTTGGATCAAACGCCTTGGCGTGTTGTAGCTCATTTGGTGGACGAGATACGATTGAACGTGTGAGTTTATTAGAAGTAAAATCAGATTAGTTCCGAAATCCTTAATACAACTCAATATTTAGAGAGTTCAGAACTACATATAAGATTTTTTGATATTATTAGAAATCGTCGCCTAGACCATCTTGAACAATGGCAGATTGTTATGTACACATTGGCTTTGCTTCTTTTTGTACAATGGGTGAGGAAAGTACTGAAGTTTGAGGAGGTTGTCTCATTTCGTAGGGCGGTATGTATTTTACTTTAAATTTGGCAAGTCATACCTAAAACTTTATTATTAGTGGCATGAAATGTTGAACAGTTTGCCTATGTATAGAAAGAAATTGGATGAGGGACAAGAGCTTACCTACAAGGAATTTGAAGGTATAAAATATTTTTCAAATAAACTGATTTATTTTTTCCTTGTAAGATAGAATACATCGAGCTGATAGACTTAAAGAATTTTACAAATATTTGCCGGACCGAGGGTTGCCAGCTGATGACATTATTCGTGAGGCGACATCCTACAAAACGATGGGCGGAATTTTGTTTGAACGTGGACATTTGTGTGGTTCAATGTTTGGAATTGAAGATGAGGATGGGAATTATCAACGACTATTAAAACAAGTAAAACTGCCTATAGTGATTTTAACAGTGGGGAATCTAAACCTTAGTCTGAACCTTAGTTGGGACAACACCCAACTATGATCAATTACAATTTGAAATATTTTTCCAAAAATTAATTAAAACTTTGTTTTTCCAGATTTTTGAGCTTTATTCATTTACAAATGTTGCATTTCCCGAAGTATTTCCTTCTGCTCGAAAAATGGAAGCGGAATGTATAAGAATTCTTTGCAGCCTTTTTCATGGATTGGATAAGAGTTGCGGTGTTTTAACAACGAGCGGTAATATTTTTGTGGGGGTTTTAAAATAATTCTTTTTTTTTCAAATGACAGGTTCTGAATCAATCATTCTTGCCTGCCTAGGTGCTTAACTTTGATTTGTGATATATCATCTAATTTATTTATTCTGTAGCTTACCGCAACAGTGCATACAAAAAAGGAATTCGAAAGCCAGAAATGATTGTTTGTCCAAATGCACATATTGCATTCTTTAAGGCGGCTAAATTATTGGGGTAATTTATAAAAGTGAATTTTTTAATTTATTCGTGTCGTTAAGAATGCGAGCAGTTCGTGTTAGAACTGGAAGTAAATATGAAGCAAATGTTGGGTCAATTAAACGAGCAATTGGCCACGAGACATGCATGGTTTTTATTAAAAATATTTTTTTTAATTTTATTTCGCCAGATTGTTGCAAGTGCTCCTTCTTATGTTAACGGTGTTATGGATAATGTAGAAGAAATTGCTCAGGCATTTTTATATTTGATTTTAACAAAATATTCTTTTATTTTTTAGTTGGGAGTCCGCTTTGGAGTGCCTGTCCATGTGGACGCAACAATTGGAGGTTTCATAATTCCTTTCCTGGAACAATGTGATTATCCAGCTCCAATGTTTGATTTTCGAATTTCTGGTGTTTCCTCAATAAATTTTGATCTACATAAGGTAAATCTTCGTATTTAATAATTGTGATTGAAATATATCTATTTATAAATTTTCACAAAAAATGGTCGTTTAAAAAGTCAATTTCTTAATATGTATTATGAGAACAAAACATTCTAGTACACCGTACCCTCTTTGATTGAGTCTTTCATTCATATTTTTGTAGTATGGCTATTGTCCTGTTGGATCAAGCGCTGTTCTATACCGAGATCAAGAATTACTCCAATGTCAAAGCTATTCTAATGTTGATTGGCCAGGTGGTATTTACACTTCTGCTACATTGGATGGTTCTCGTCCTGGACTTCTAATTGCATTGACTTGGGCTTCATTACTTTACTTGGGCCGACTTGGTTATGTTGAAAGAACTCAACGAGTTATGGACACATCAAGAATGTTAAAGCACAGAATTGAGGAAGAAATATCTGATCATTTGGAGGTTTTAGGAGAACCTCTAGGTCCGGTTATTGCGATCACAAACAAAAGTTCTTCAAAAATAAAGATACATGCGTTGGGTGATGAGATGCATGATTTGGGGTGGAGCTTTACATTTTTGCAGGTTTTATTTTTTGATTTATCTTACTAAATTTTTAAGAATCCTAATGCTCTCCGTTTTTGCATTTCTCTTCATCAAACGCGTGGAGAGGTTATTGACTCATTAATTAGTGACATGAAGAAATGTATTGAAAGAATTATACAAGATGACTGCTATGAATATCCAACAAAAACTGTATTTTTAAAAGAAAATTGCAATTGTTTATAATAATTTTAGAATGTTCTTTTTGGAATTTCTGGCGCCTTTATGGACAGAGGGGTTGCTAATCTTCTTTCCAACGCTTTGTTGGAAGCATATTATTCGACTCCAACTTCACCTCATGGAGAAATGGGATTGCGTAAGCGCACGTTAAGTATTGAAGGACGTAAACTTTCACAATTACAATTGCCAAGTGGTATGTTTGTAATCCTTTTCTATTTAAATTTTTTAATTTTTAAAGCTTTGGCTGCTCTTCGTGAACAATATTCATTTGGAGAATTGACAAGCTTCACAGTCCCTACAACTATTAGTACTGGAGAGACATCGACATTATCTGCAGCAACACAAGAAGATGAAATGACAAAAGCAACGGATATAATTCCACAACTTCCATCGTCTTCTTTTGAAACTTTAACAGAAAGAACTGCTAGTATTCCGTTGGTTACAAAAGAAGAAACAGAAGGTGAGCAGTTAACAGTTACGAATAATATAAATGAAGAACAGAATCATCGAATTACAGTTATTCCAGAAGAGGAGAAAAGTAATGATATGATGAATAATGTTAAGCAAGACGATTAATTGTAAATTATAGGTATTATTTGATAATATTAAATATCTTATCAAATAAATAGAATAACCTTTGTAAAATGGATTACTGAAATTTTCTGGTTTATTAAAAATTTAAATGTAAATAGAATTTATTAAAATTCTAATGATTTTTAATGGGTGATGGAAATAACAACAAGTACAGGGGAAGAGGTTACTAAATATTCATTTAAAAGGTTATTCATTCACAAATTCATTTGGAAATGAAATTTTACTTTTTTATTTCTACATTTAATCGTGACTATTTTTGATGTTTTATTATACTTTTTTAGAAAAGTTTTAATTTTGACTTCTCTTAATGAGCATTATTTACATTTTACATATATGATTTTTTTAGTGAAATCATTTTTTAAATACGAGTATAAAATTATTTTATATTTGGCTTTTTTGTTGTTTTTATATGTTCGCTAACTTACAATTAATATTTAAATTTTAAATTAAGAATGAATTGTTTGCTTAAAAATTGTTAAAATTTAGGGCTGAAATTATGTTTTTATTATATTTCGTTTTCGGACTTCTTTTATGTTTTTCCTCTGCCAATTTTCCAAACAAGGAAGATGCTGATATTGGAATGTCTGTTGGTGATTCTGCTGCCACAAAGGTGAGAAATGTTTAAAGTTTTAATGTTGGCTCGTTATTTTATATTTGATTATTACGCATCGGATGCTCGTGTATTTGCCAATGTTAAACCCTGTAGTCAGATTAGCGAGAGAATTTTGAAAAATTAACATTAAAAATTACTTATAGTTGGTTCGTAGTGCTTTGGAATATCAGCTTCGTTCACCACATTTAATTAAACTAAAATTGCGAAGTGCCGAAGACGTTTGGTTTCATGATGTTGCTAAACTTAACTCTAAGAACAGCGTTTCAATAGGTATAAACATAAAACATTTTTTAAAAATATTTTTAGGATCATTAAATGTGCGTTTTCCAAATGATAAAATAATTGAAGCAGAAGCTCGTCATTTAAGTCTAAATTCTTCAACTCTTGTAAATGATGCTTCTTTACCTTTATTTTTTCTTGATCGCAAAAATGTAGTGGTGGATGTTGAGGTATTTTTTGAATATAATATTTTTTGGATTTTTGAGTAGAAATCTTTTCTAACTACAATAAATACTAAAAAGTTTTGTAATTAAATTCTTGAGACAATTTGGCAAACTTTTTCTAAAAAAGCAAGTCAAAAGTTTAATAGAAAAAGGTGTTCTTTTCATTTGCATCTTTTTTCAAGTACATGTTTTCAACATAAAACTGAATTAATTTTAACAGGTTGACCATGCCTTTCTTCAACTTCGAGTTGAACATCCAGCCTCTCTTTTTATGGAAAATTGTTCTATTAAATTAGAAAACGTAAACTTTGGTGTTGAGCGAACTTATCTTTTAAATACTGTTTTTAATGCTTTTGGGAAGACTTTATCTGTTGGAATGATTAGGGATAAAGTTTGTGATATGCTACAGGTTGCTGTTATGCATTTACGACGAGAGTTTAGCATGTAAATTTTTTTATAAATTTTTGCATTTAAAATTTTATTTAAAAAAATTTTTTTAAGAGAATTACCATTTAAAATGCTAATTCCTGACAAGTTTATTCGACACTTACAAAATGATCGAGTTATTCTCCGCTCGCGTATTAATTCAATTAAAGCAGTTTCAAATCAAATTGCTGTCACGGTTGAAGAAATTATAATTTATTTTTAATTTTTATAATATTTTTAAAGGTCGTTATGGAATGGAAAGTTGACGAGGTACCAACTACTGAACGTACTTCTTTTGTTGATAGTGAGAGTTTACATTTTAATGAAACGGAAATTAAAAAATTGAAAAATGGCGAGGAGAAGGCTCAACAAAGTGATCATAAGTAAGAAATATTTTTTTAACTTAAAAATTTTATTTGGCAAAAAATACAACCAAATTCCATCATAGTGAATTAATTATTAAAAACAAGGACTAAAAAATATTTTAAACCATTTCTTCATCATGTTTATTTTCTTTATTTTTTCAAAGAATGCAATCGTCTCCATTGGCTGACTTCAATTCTTCATCAGTTAGTGAAGCAATTTTAATTTGGATAGAGGACCGATTAATTAATGATTTATTAAAACAATTTCGGTGGGATGTTCAGTGGATTAATGAAGTTGTTGTTTATATGTTGGATTTTTTAAATTTAATTTTTTAGAGTATTCAATTAAACAGTCCTCGATTGCCAAAAGAAACACTCGACTTTTTTGAGGTTTTTAATTAAATTAAAAAGAATTTTAATTTTTAAGGTTGTTTGCCCGCAATGTTTCTTCCTTTTCAATATAAGTTCAAATGGTCTTCCAAATGTTCAAATCCTGGCAGATAAGTCAATCATCATCAGAAGGTTAATTTTTTAAATTTGATTGAATTTCTAATTCGAATATTCACAATAATTCCATAAATTTTTCCCGTTAAGCGAAAAATGGAAATTTACGAATGTAATTATAAGTGCCTCTTCTAGTTTTTCCTTTGTTTAGAGTTAAATTTTTTAACTTTTTGAAGTTTTCTGTTGTCCGATACAAAATTTTAACGAAATCAGTTGATAATAATTTAAATAATTTTAAGTAATAATCGAATAACCGCTGCAGTATTAAATCCAACTTTGGGGCATTCTGGCAAACGCCGAACAGCAATTGATCTTTCAATGCTTCTTCAACTTAAATTAGTCCCTCAAATACAAAATGGAATTTTCCGTACACATTTAGAGCTTATGGAACGTAAAGTAGAGGTTCAAAAAGAAAGTGCTTTCCCTTCAGAATTGTATGGAGCTGTTGAACAATTAATACAAGGTGAGGAAAGCTTCTGCTGAATTCACAATTACAAGTTTCTTCCTCCTAGATTCTTCCCCAATCATATCCTATTTTTTTAATTCCTTAATAAATACTTTAAGATTTTATGTTTTAAGATTTAATTGCCGAAGATATGTGGCCATTATTGCAACGTGAGCTTGAACCACTCATTTACCAATCGGGCATTCAATTACCTACAAGATGTGGACTTGACCCTACATCTGCACAATTATATTTTGAACAAGGACGTTTGGGTGTGTCCGCTCGATTAGAAAATAATTTGGAAGAAGTTTCTTTCCATCAATGTCTTCAGCAATTTAAAAGTGGATTGCCGGATGCTTCTAAATTATTTAATGATTTGTCAACTCGACATAAATACAAAAGTAAACGATTTATACGTCTTGGCTAGTTAGGAGAGAAGAGGGATAATGTAAGGAATTAAAAACAATATTTTCTTTTTTTACCAATTATTTATGTGCATTTAAACAATTTTCTCTTAGCTCTTTCTTTTTATAAAATCGCATTTTATTGCCTGCCCTGCATAACTTAAACTTTTTTTTAAATTGCCTTGCCATAATAATTTTTGTATTTATTTTCCGGAAAAAATGTTTATATTAAAGATTGAAAACCGGAAAATAAAATCCTTTAAAAATGTCACTTTACTTTTTATAAAATTTGCCTGCTTTTTTTGCCTTTTTATGTTTATCTCATTTTTTAAAAAAATAATAAGGCGATAATTATATTCTTAATATTTTATTTATTATAACAAATTTGATAAAATCTTTAAAACAAAACCAAAAATAATTTTTCGATTTTAATTACTTTGCTGGATGCATTACCCCCTCCTCAGTAATTAAAAACGATTTGCTCGGTTCTGAGGTACCATAATCATTAATAGCTTCTACATAGACTAGATAAGTTGATTTTGATTTGTTTGTAATACTTTCTAGGGGAATACAAATTTCAGAATTAATTCCCTTGAAAAATTTTGATTTTCAATATTTTAGAGATATTCTTCACCTTTTCATTACTAGAAGCAATTATTTTTGTAATAAGTACAGGTTTAGTTCCACCTCCTCTCAATTCTTTAATTAATGTGACTCCATATAATTGTCCAGATTTATTTTCACTCCTTTTACGAAGTTTTCTAAACTCTTCAACTGCGGCATCTCTACCATTCCTAGAATTTTAAATTCTTAAATTAAAAATATTCCGGATTTTATGTGATGGGTTATTTGTAGGGTTGGTCCCCGACGGGGGAGGGGGGGGGCACGGAGAAGGGTTTTCGGGGAGGCAACGCCATGGGGGGGGGGGCGACATTCGAGGACGGGACCAACCCTAGTTATTTGTGCATAAAAGAAATATTTCGAAACATTTCCCAAGATTCGTTAAAATTTAATATGTCTACTAACATTGTGTCTGTTACAACATTCATTTCTTGTAGATGAACAACAAAGGAAGGGATTTTTACTGTATTTTTTAGATTCTCAATTGTAAAACAAAATCGTCGATTTCCACTACCAACTTCTCTAATTTGTAAATTTTTTGGAGCAGGCGGAGGAAAAAGTGCTTAATTATTGAAGAATCTGTGAGCACATTTAACAATAAAAAAGGAAAATAAAATTTAAAATAAAATTCTGACCGTATTGTTGACTAAAACAATCAAATATTTCAGGCAAATAGTACAAACAAAGTCGATGAGATTTTTCTAATTTCTTGATAAAAAAATATTTTTTAATGTTTAAATAATTTTAATTAAATTATAGTAGTTCCTTATAGTGAGGGACAACTAAAGTTTTAACAATTTCCAATTAATTTTCAAACTCGCAGGCGAGTTTCAGAAAGAATTAGAGATCCTTTCTTATAAATGAGAGAGTTAAAATCTAATAGAAATTCCAAAAATTTGGCAAACAACTTTCCAAAAATTCAGTCTCTTAATATTTCATTCATTTACCTGAAAATTATTTCCACAAAAATCAAAACAAAACGGAGGCAAGGCTTTCTTTCTACAACAGGGCAAATAATCACGTTTACCTCCATTTGTTACACAGTTTAAAAATTTTTTATAATCATCTACTTGACAACTTGTTGGATCAAAAAATTCTTCTCCAATATTTCTAGGTCTACACATTGGCCTACATAATGGAGAAACTCCTTTTTCAATACAACATTCTGTGTGGTCATAAGTTAAATTTGCAGGGAAATTTAATTTTAATGCAGAATCTTTTTTTGAAGAAATTATTTTTAAGAGGTTTATTAAAGTTTTCTAACCCCCCAATACATCCAATTTAAAATCTAATTGTTGTTGGCCTCCATTTTGAGTCCACAATTGACAGCCGTATTTTCCACTATCTTCCAAACTTAGATTACGTAATAAAAGAGAATATGCCTTAAATATTTAAATTGTATATTTTTTTATAATTGCTCATATTAAATGCCACTACTGCCACTTTATTAAATGTATTACGTAAATATAAACCGACTTTATTACGTAATGCCCTGGCATTTAATTAAAGGAAATACGGTAACTGCAATGTGTTTTAGCTTAGTTAATATCATTTTGTTAGTTATATCATTTGCTTAGTTAATATCATTAGTTAATATCACTTTTAAAAATTTATTGAATTATTCAATTGAAACTATAACTTTGTTCATATTTGATGACCTCGACGAGCTGAATCGACAATAACAGGGCATCCCGGAACGAAGTTATAGCTCTTCGGTACGTTGGAGTGTTCCCCTTCTAATTTACCTCAACAAAACATTTTTCTCCTTTTATTTCCTCGTCATTATTAATTTCTTCAAGAGACCTTTGTAAAATAATACGTGAAGGTTCAATACCAGAAGTTGGCTCAAATTCAGTTCCATTAAATAAAAGAATTCCATCATGATGCCAAGAAATCTTTTTTTAATAATAATTATTTTTTCTCTTCCAATAATTAATTTTTACCAAAAAATTATTATTTAATTTATTACAAATTTTAATAGAACATTGAAAATTAGCTGTTAAACCATTAACTAATGAAAGTATTGGTGAAGATGATGAAAATAAGGAAATTGGTATTTCTTCTTTTTTATTTTCTACTAGATTATTTATAGTTAAAATAAAAAATAAAAATATTAATAATTTTGAATATTTTAAATAAAATAACATTTAAATAATCTGGAATTTAAAGCTTATTTAATAACTAAATGGATGTAAAATATTCTAAAATAAAAACTGAAGTAGTTAAAAATAAAATTAAAAAGTTGATCTAGTAACTCGATATAAATGAAAAAATTGCCGTTTAGTTTGCTCGTTTAAGAAAATAAATGTTAAAATTAACGAGGATTTAGTGGCAAATTAAGTACTTCAAGTATTAGGAGGGACTGGCTAATTATTTTTTAAAATTATACTTTGAATATGTAGTGAAGAGGAAAGTTATTAATCGAAAAAATACTAATTAATTTAATTTTTAGTAGATGATCAAATTTTTAAATATTTAAAAATAATATAATAAAATGAATTTTTAAATTAAAAATTTTCAATCTATCAATGTAAACGCACTAAAAATCTTCTTTAATTGGTTTAATCGGTCGCATAAAAAGGCCACCGATCAAATTAATTTTTTTATTTAAATCGATTCGAGAGAGAAAAATTAAATAATTTTTGCAAAAATTGATGGGTTTTTTAAAAACTTCCGTTAGCAAAGGAGAAGGAAGGGTAAATTATAAATATCAAGAAAATATGTATAAAAAATCACTTTAAGAAATTTGTTTAGTTTGGCTAATAAATCCAAAAGAAATTAATATCAATTAGCAAGTTCTCGAATATAACCTAAGTCAAATTTAAAAGAAAATTTCAAATATTTTTTAAAAATAAATTTATTGAAAAAAAATTTAAATAATTATAAATTGTAAATTAAATCAACAAGAAAATATTTTTTAAATCAAATTCCTTAACAATTAAATGTTTAGGAATAACATATTTAAAAGGTTTTGCCCCCAAGTCATTTCCAAAATTAGTTTCTACTGAACAACATTGCAATATAACAAATGGTAGATAATAATCATAATTATTCTTTATCAATTTAGCTGTTCCTTAAAAAATATTTTTTTTTAATTTTTATTTTCTTCCAAACCAATTTGTTTTCCGTTTTGTGTGAAAAACATGTATGGAAATTCTTCAGATTTATTTGTTGGTGGATATACTAATCCACACCCAAAAATACAATTATCCCACCAAACAAGATCGAGAACTTCATCTAATTTACCTTCGCAAGTAATTGAAGCTTTGTTTGAATATAAACAAATATAATTCTTTAAATCATTATTTTTAAATCCAATAAAGATATATTTATCTGAATCTTTCTCGATTTTATATTTAATCTCAAAATAAAATAAAGAATAATTAATTGGATTTTTTGGGTTTTTAAAAGAATTTTCAGCAATAATACGGCTAAATTGGTCTTTACCTAAAATAGATAAAAATTTTACAAAACATTTTTTATTTCTTTATTTACTTTTCTTCCTTCCAAATCCAAACAATCCCCAATTTTCTACACAATTAATATATTTAATATTTTCATCATTAATTAAATTAGCAAATCCATTCCCTTCAATACAAACACCTACAGGATTGTTTGTATTAATACATTTATTTTCACAACATTCACTAGAAATTTCTTTCCATTTATTTTTAATTTCTACATAATTCTTAAAAAGAAAAACCAAAATTTATTAAAATAATTTTTAAAATAACCAAAATATTTATTTCTCCAGAGTTAATTGTCAAGTCAGCAATGTTTTTGTCTGCCTTTTTTTATAAATTTTAAGTTAAGAAATTTAATTTTAATTTCATTTTATTTAATAATTTAATTATTCTTTAATTTTTTAATTAAATTTAAATGACTTAAAAAAATAATTTACATTTTTAATTTTTTCTTCCAAAGAATTTATTTTTTCGTCTTTTTGACTACTATCAAAATTAATTTTTTGAATTTTCTAAAATTAAAAATATTTTTAATTTAATTCAAAAAATAACCTCATTTAATTCTTTTAATTTATTTTCAAGATTAAATGTCTTTTCTTTCTCTTCAATATATTTTAATTGAAGATTGTTAAAATTTGTTTGAAGTTGTAATAAATTATTGCTTTGTTCTTGTAGCTTAAATATTTAATTTTTAAATTTATTCTTTTAAAAAGATTACTTTTAATTCCAAATCACAAGTTGACGATCCTTTTTCAGTCATTTTGTAGAAAAAAATAAAATTTTAAAGTAAAAAAATAAAAATAAGATTTTTTAAAAATATTCTAGACAAATTAAAAATGATAATTTTAAAAATAATAATTTGGCGGTACGCGATTTCGTACGACAATTGCGGATATAAAATTTTAAAAAATTAAGATTTTTTAAAGTTTTCAGTGTCGCATCAGTCTAGAAATAATTCGAAAACCGTCAGAACGGACAGCCGGGACTAAAAACAGGATCTTATTTCAACAAATTTTATTTTTTTTAATTCTTCAGTTGTCGTACACTCTGTTCCAAAATTATAAGGTCACCCCTATTTTTTATCATATCTCATAGAAAAACAATCGAAATTTTTTGAAATTTTTACATAATTTATATCTTTCTATTTAAAATCTGTCTTAAAAAAATCAAATTTGTAGCTACCTTAAAAAATTTTTTATGACCAAAAAAATAAATTTAAGGTGTTCCATAATTATAAGGTCACCTCTGTTTTTAGGTTTCTAATAGTGGTAAAAATCCACAAAAATTTGTCTGAACATATCTATCAATATAGATACGAAATACAAAAGAAATGAAGTTCTGATGTACTCCCATCATCGAGATCTTGAAACCCGAAAATCAACGAAAAACAGGAGGTAGACGTCTTTAAAAAATATTTTCGACCCCTTACAGGTAGGATAAAAATTTTATTTTAGGCTTATCTGAATGCCCTTAAAATTTGCTACAAGTTAGCATTAATTTTATTTTACGAAAAAAATTCTCCTGTAAGAAGTAATGAGTTTAGTTTATAAGTTGAATTTTTATTACTTTTTGGGGGGCGTTTTGTGATTTCTATGGCATGAAAGTTTATCACATTAGGTCTTACAGGAGAATTTTTTTCGTAAAATTAAATTAATGCTATCTTGTAGCAAATTTTAAGGGCATTCAGATAAGCCTAAAATAAAATTTTTATCCTACCTGTAAGGGGTCGAAAATATTTTTTAAAGACGTCTACCTCCTGTTTTCCGTTGATTTTCGGGTTTCAAGATCTCGATGATGGGAGTACATCAGAACTTCATTTCTTTTGTATTTCGTATCTATATTGATAGATATGTTCAGACAAATTTTTGTGGATTTTTACCACTATTAGAAACCTAAAAACAGAGGTGACCTTATAATTATGGAACACCTTAAATTTATTTTTTTGGTCATAAAAAATTTTTTAAGGTAGCTACAAATTTGATTTTTTTAAGACAGATTTTAAATAGAAAGATATAAATTATGTAAAAATTTCAAAAAATTTCGATTGTTTTTCTATGAGATATGATAAAAAATAGGGGTGACCTTATAATTTTGGAACAGAGTGTAACACCAATAATTCGTTGAATATAGGAAAGAGGAAAGCAAATAAAATTATGAGAAAAAATATTTTTAAATATGTATAGGAAACTAAACGTTTGAGGATCATAATTGAAGGAAGAAATATTTTAAAAAGGTGGGTTGAGGGAATTATTTAAATAAGAAATGAGGAATGATGGAAAGTATTTATGGAAAGAATTTATTTTCTGAGAATATTTGTTGAGGAAATGTTATTAAATAAAAGATGAAAAATAGTTGGAAGTAATATTTTTAATTGGATTAAAAATAAATTTAAAAAATCATTTAATTATCTCGAATATACATATAATGGAGAAAGGAGTATAAGGTGTTGATAAATTTTCTTTTTTTAAAATTTAGTTAATAAACCAATGAAGCAAGTAAATAAAGATTTTTTTAGCATATCTTTTAGTAGAAACAGCAAGAAAAAGTATATTTGTTTTCCCTAGAGAATTTAAAAAGTGAACACAAATCCTTTAAAAACGTGATGATTGAATATATACACTAAATAAATACAAGTATTGCCTTTTGCTTTTTATCATTTTGTTGCCAGCTTTTTTAAAGCATTAAAAATCTGTAAAAGAAAAATTGACTAAATAAATATTGAAAAAAAAAGATTTTTTGTGTTGGGTTTCTTTTTAATCTTTTTGACCTCCTGTTTTGTCTAACAATTTTTTGTAGTTTAAAATTTATTTTTTTGATATTGTAATTATTTAATTTATCCAAAATTTCTGCGGATTTGGAGCCTCATATTCGTATCCATCCATCAGATTTTCAAAAAAAACAATATCCATATCCGTCCGGTTATTATCTGTATCCATGCACCAGTCTGGTTTAAATCGCTTTTAAAAAATAATTTTATTTTGGCCAATTTTATAAAAACAAATTTAATTATCGAACTATTAACGTATTAGTAAAATATTTACGTAATTTCTTTAAATTAATTCTTCAAATTTTAATACATTTATTTCAAATTATCCCAGTATATTTTCGAGTTAATTTACTCCAATTTATTTTTAAAAAATTCTCTTTCTAAACATCCCTCCACTACATCCTTCCGGATTTCTAATTTTAAAGAAAGCAAAAATTAAACTCTTTTTAGTACTAAAATGCCAGCTAGAATATTTAAAAAAGAATTAAAGTACTACAAAAAAAGTTCCTTAATTTTTAATTTAATAATTTAAATGAAAGAAATAAATATATTAATTAATTATTTAATATTTTTCATAATATTTTTAATTGAAATTATAAAATCAGAATGTAAGTTGATAATAAAAATTAAAAGATTATTTTTTAATAAATCTTTTTAACTCCTCTCCTCATTAATTAAATTAAATAATATTTTAAGTATTTCTATAAATACCCCACTATATATCAAGTACCTCACAAATTTTTTTATAAAATTTGATAATCCCAAAAATATTTACTAAATAACTTTCAAAAAAACTTTCAAGATCAAAAATTAATTTTTTTAGCTCCTCCAAAATGGGAATGGGAACCTCCAGCAATTATAGAAATGCCAGAAGATTCTTCTGTTGATTTACACTGTCCAGTAAGAGGAAGGCCATCCCCAATAATTCGTTGGTCTTTTAATTCAATTCCTTTTTATGGTAATTAATTAAATATTTGAAAAATAAAAATTATTTAATTAAATAAAAAAGAATTGTCTGATGATTATAATAATAGAAGAATTCAATTAAATGAAGGTCGGTTATTAAGAATTAATTCTTTAAAAAGAGATTTGGATACTGGCTTATATCAATGTAATGCAACAAATATTGGAGGCTATTTGGATTCTTCTACTTATTTAAATGTTTTGGGTAAGTTTCTAAAAATAATTTAAAAGTGGTTATCTTTTCTCTACTTTTTCTTTAAAAGATTGGAAAATTTGAATATTTTTCTTTTATTCAATTAAATTAACCATCTAAAACTTTACTAAATATTATCATTATTTTGTAAAAATATTTTGCTTTCTAAGCATTCGCTCCTCGTTTTCGTCATAGTAACCAAAGAGTTTGGAAAGTATTGCGTGATTCTAGTGTTGATTTAAATTGTGATGTAGAGGCTGCCCCAATAGCGGAGGTTCAATGGGTTGATGGTAAATTATAAATATATTATTTTAAATAATTTTTTAACAGCAAATGATACAAATATTTTGCCTGTTCCGGGAAAATTGGAGGTTAAAAAATATTTTTTGTTGAAATATTTCTTTGTTTTTAAAGATATTTCCAAATTTTACCCTTCGTTTGCATTCATTGAGTAGTTCAGATGATGGTTTTTATTATTGTAATGTTAGCAATAAATATGGGTTAAATCGAGCTTTGAATAGATTGGAAGTTTTTAGTAAGTTTTTATTTTTAATTTATTTATTGTTAATACATAATTACCTATTTTGATTTATTTTTAATTTAATTTTTAAGTTTATTTCCCCTTTAAATAATTTATTAATTAATTTTATTTAATTTTAGCACCAACATTTTTTGCTGAAATACCCCAACCTTCAAGAATTACTTTAGATGCAAATTCCCCAAACTCAAATCATTTAGAATTACGTTGTAAAGCAATTGCTGATAATCGTTTAAGTATTGATTATATTTGGACAAAAAATGGAAGTCCAATTAAAAATGAAGAAAATAATAAAATAATTATAGAGTAATTATTTCTGGAATTTTTAAAATGAATCAAAAAAAAATTTTTAGAGAAGATGGGACTTCAATTCTTCGTTTATTCCATTTAAGTGGCCACCATACTGGACATTTAGAGTGTTCAGCTGTTACTGAGGTTGATGTTAAATCTGCAGCGATAGATCTGTTTGTTAGAGGTGTTTACTTATATATTAGAGATTAATATATTGTAATATTATCCTATTTGATAACCTCACATCAGATATTTTCTCTCAAAGAATAATTGAAATTTAAAATTTAAGAGACTTTCTAATAAAAAATGATTCTATTACATTAAAGAAAATTATTTAATATTAATTTTTGTTTTCTAAAAGATGTCCCAGAAAGGCCAGAATTAATGCGTGTAGATTGCTCTTCTGGAAGGCATGCTTTACTTGTTTGGAAACGGCCTTCAATAAATATTTTAAATAATGAACTACCTTTAACTGCATTTATTGTGGAAGCAAAAACTGACCAAAATTCAGAAAATTGGGAAAAAGTTTTCGAAGAATATTTGGGAGGAGAAGAAGAAACGGCTACTGGACCTAGAATATTACACAAAACAGCAATTCCTTTAAGACCTTGGGTTTTTAATTTAATTAAATTTTTTAAAAATACTTATTAAATTTAAAAATTCGCTAGAAATTATTCTAAAAAATAATTTTAAAGGCTAATTACACATTTCGATTGTTTGCCGTTAATGCTCACGGGTCTAGCCAACCTTCTCAACCTATGCCCTCTTCTCCATTAGAATGCTCCTCTCCACTGGATGTTCCTTTTCAAAATCCTTTGGCTGTAACAGCAGCTGGTAAATTTATTTTATAAAATATTTTTTAAAAATATTTTTTAAAGGAACTGAGCCAGATAATTTAATTATTAGTTGGCAGCCATTACCGCGTGATCGGTGGAATGCTCCTGGATTACGTTATTTAGTGAGATATAGAAGATTAGATACAAAAGATGGAGACTGGAATGAATTTCTTGTAGAGGATCCTTTTGCTGTAAGTTTGGAAAATAATTAGGGATAGTAATTTAATGAGAGAAATATTTTTAAATTAACGAATCAAAGAGGCCACAAAATTTTTATTTTAATAATTTTTGGTCCTAAAGAGTCATCAAAATTATTTTCATAGAGAAAAAAATTCAAAAACAAAATTGAAAATAATCTTTTTCTTTTTAAAGAATCAAACAATAATTCGAGAACAACCAACATTTCGCCCTTATCAAGTTCAAATTCGAGCAATTAATTCTTTGGGGTTTTCTGCATTAGAACCTCCAATTGTTGAAGGATGGTCGGGAGAAGATGGTGAATTAATTAATTTACATTATTGTAAAAATTATTTATTTATATTTAGTTCCAACAGAATCACCTAAAAATCTTCGCTTAGCAGAGCATCACAATTATTCTTTTGTTACGTTAGAATGGGAACCTATAGAAAATAGGTAAATTAATACAAAATATAAGCAAATTTAAGAAAATTATTTTAGCTCAATTAGAGGTCATTTTCGAGGATATAGAGTAAATTAATTTTATTTAAAATTGAAAAATAATTTAAAAATAATTAACAAAATTCTCAAAATTTAGATTAAATTAATGGACTTAAATTTTTAAATTATAAAAAATTATCTATTCTTACGAGAAAGGGTTTTAATGATAAATTATTCCTTCCTAAAATTCAGGACTCAAATGTACTTAACTGACATATACCTAAGAGTCAAATGTGTTGATATGAGTAGAGTAACTTACTCTGTGCTCTCTAACTTTTATTTTTTTCTGAAAATTTAGTTTTTGATCAGAATTATTTTATACTTTGTGGATAGCCCGAAATAAACAAAACTGTTTTTACCTATAAATAAATAATTTCCAAAGAAAATATTCAAATTTTAAAAGATTGATTATTGGATGAATATTCACCCAATAATTGTACATTCTCTCTATTCAACATCAAATAGCCAATTAATTGGAGGTTTAGAAGCATTACAATATTATACAGCTAAAGTACATTTATTGAATAACCGATTTGAAAGCAAACCTTCAAATCTTTTGGAATTTAAAACAATTGAAGGAAGTAAATGAATCAAATAATTAATTAAAAATAAATATATTTAATTCAGTTCCTTCAAAAGTTCACAATTTACGTGTTCATTCAGTTGGTTCTCGTTCAGTTCTTGTTACATGGCAACCACCTTTACATCCAAATGGAAATTTGAGAGGATATTTTATTACATTCCAAAGTAATTTCCTAATAGATTTATTGTTGAATAGTAGAGATCTGAGATCCGCAGTCCCAGTTCTTATCTCAAAATCGCTCCCTCGTATAGCCTCCTAAGACGGAGATAAAAGCAATGTCTTAATATTACTAGCACCAAAAGATTTTCGAGATTAATTTACACTTTAAAGATGCATTGATTGCTTTTCATTAAAAATTACTCTTGTCTAGAGACATCTAATTATGTCTAATTTATTTAAAAATCTTCATAATTAACAGACGGACTTACTGATCACATTGAAGAAACCTATGTTTTGCATCGTCAACAATTTTATTTACACGAACAATTAAAGCCAAACACTCCTTATAGAATTTCTGTTTGGGCAGAAACTGGCGGAGGGGAAGGACCTCGTCTTTGGAGGAATACAAAAACTTGGCCTTTTCGAAGTTTGAAAATTAAAAAAAAATTTAAATAAAAAATTTCTTTTAAGGTCCAGATTCTCCTTTATTTTCTGTTCGTACACAAACAAAATTAATTAATTCAATTTTAATTAATTGGTTGCCAATAAATTCTGGTGTGGGAATGAGAATGAGTGGAACTTCTTTTGCTGTTAATTACACAAGACAAGGCTAATTATTTTTTTACTTCTGATTTTTGAGTTTTCCAAAAAATTATTTTATAGGAAAAATTATTTTTGCTGTTAATTACACAAGATTTAATAAAAGAAATAAAATATAAATAATTTAAAGATTTTAACGATGAATGGAAACTTAGTGAATGGATTACTTTACCCCAAACATCACTTGAATTGAAGAATCTTATGGAAGATACAGATTATATAATAATTGGTATTTCTAGAGAAATTGGTGCTTCTTTATCTTATTCAAAACCTTTAACAATTAAAACTGAAAATTATAGAATGATTTCTTTGTTTAATAAAGGTAAATAATTAATTTTTAATAAAAAAATTTTTATTGGAAAAGTGAAAGATCAAACCTTATTAGATCACTATAATTTTAGAATTTTTCAAAAATAAATGTTTAGACTATCAAAGTTTAGGTTTTATTAATTTATCAAACTCCTCCTATGTATTACCCTCTTTTAGAAAATCTTTAATTAATTAAAATATTTTTTTCAGAACGTATTCGAAGTGCCGCTTGGTTTCTCTCTGTTTTAATAGTTAGTGTAATAGTTTTATCAATTGTTTGTGCAATGTGTGCATTATCACAAAGAAATTCTGGTGGATTAGTTGGTGTAGTTAATGGAATTAAATTGAGAGAAAAAAGATTTGGGCCGGCATTTAGAATAGATAATTTAAATAGAGATGATTTGTCTTCTGAAGAAGGGTCTTCATCTTCTTCTAATTATTTAATTATGAAACCAAGAAATGTTAAAAAGGGTGGGTAATTTTTGGAAATTTAAAAATTAAGGGAAAGAATTCCCCTTTTAAAAATTTATTTTAAAGATGAATCAAAAAATGAGAGGAACAATTTTATAGAATGAGTATCAAGTGAAAAAAATTAAAAAAAAATTTCTTAAAAATATTTTTTATTATAAAAATTTTATGTAAATATGTTTTTTATAATTTTATTCAAATAAAAGTTATTTAAAAAATAATATACCTATAATATATTTATCAATATTAATTTTTAAAGAAAGTTAATTAAATAATGATTATGTTGTTTAAATTATTTTTAGTTAACCATAAGCAAGTTTTTTAAAATTATTCTCCTATCTTTTTAAAGACCAAAAGACTCCTGAATATCCAACTTTGCTCATAGTAAAAAAATAAAATATTTAAAAATACCCGTTAACAAATAAAGAATGTATGTATTTTTTTAGGAATCGGAAAATTTAAATAATTATTTTTCTGAAAGTTTTGAATGAATTTTAGTAATTCCGATTCCTAATTATGTAAATAAAAAATATTTTTTGTCAAATACGGCTATAGTCTCCCGAAGATAACGGCCCTTTCCAGCCTTGCCCCTTCGGCACTATAACCGGAGATTCGACTTTAATTAAAAAAACAATAATTAATTTAAGGTAGCATAAACATTTTCTTCATAATATGTTGGGGATATAGTAATTGTTCTATTAACATTTCCACTCTCTTTTTTATTTCCTCCCAAACTAGCAGCAACACACTGTTTTAAACGTTCACCCAATCTTTGCTGCTTAGCTTCCAAATTATTTTCTAAACATTCAATTAATTTAATTCCATTAGCTTTAGCCCATCCAAATAATTCTTTTAAAGCAATAGAGGGTGATAGACCAATAGATTTATTGTCTTCATTTAATGTTGATAAATATTCATAAAAATATTGGGGAGAAATTGGGGGTTGTTCTTGTATTCTTTTAATTAATTGAATTGATAATGGACGATAACTTGAAAATAAATTAATTTTAAAAATAAATTAAAGGAGATTTAAGTAAACTAATATTTTTAAATATTAGCCCTCTAATTTAAAGAATTTTTTTAAATTTTTACCGAGCAATTTCAGGTGCAAATAATAATTTACAAGAAGGACTTTCTTTGCCTAATTTCAATTCAGATAAAGAAAATATATCAACAATTGTTTGCCCTAAAACAGCAAGAGAACCAACAAGTGTTTGTTGCCTTTCAGGAACATCAAAAAGAAGTGAAGGAGATTGAATTAATTGTTGCCAAAAACGAAGAACCCAACAATTAGATTTCCAAGCGTGGAGGGTTTCTTCGGTGATTGGAACCTTTTTTGAAATTAAAAATAAATTTTAGAATTTTTTAAATTTAATTTTTAAAAGCCTAGGAGGAAATATTTTTAGTCTTTCAATATTTTTAGCAAATGAAAAATAATACAACATTTTTTAAAATTTTTAAAGAAAATATTTGAATATTTTACATCATTAATTCAAATTAATTTTCAATTTAAAATAATTTTTCCAAAAAATTTATTTTTTACTTGACTCTGAGCTGCCTGAATATCCAAAAAATCAAAAACATATTTTAAAACAACAGGTATTTGTTGTTGTTTTTGCTCTATATTTGAAGAAGAAAGTAAAATAGCTTGTTCAAAAAATGTTTCAAAGAAACGTTGAAGTGCTCCTTTACACATTAAAAGTCGAGTTAATAAAACTTCTGGAGGAGGCGGGGATTTCTCAATATTTTTAGTTGAAAGAATATTTTTGTTGTTGGATAACTTATGTCGTTTTTTATTTTTCTTTGAATTTCTTAAAAAATATTTTTAGAAATTTTTTTTAATGTTAAGAGAATCAAGTGATCACTTGAATGTCAAGTAAAAGGAAATGATTTTAATGAGAAAAAATTTATTTTTGGGTTTTGAATTAAGTAAAAATTAAAATTTACTTTTCTTTATTTTCATTTAATAAATTATTTGTTTTTGTCGTCATTTGTGTAGAAAGATGGAAATAATGAGGTTGTAATATTTTATTATTATTTCCAAAATTTTGTAAAGACGTAAAAATATGTGGGGAATCATTTGAAGCAGAAGATGATGTTGATGAAGCAGATAATAAAAGTTGATTGGCAGAACTTCTCCATCCACCACCAAGTGTTGAATGATCACTTGACCTTTTTTGGATATTTTAATTAATTTTTAGGTAAATATTTGAAAGTCTTATACAAAGAATTAGTAGTTCTAAGTAATCAAAATATTCAAATTTACCCGCTACGGAATGTATGTTGTTGTTGAGAGTGTACAATAGGGGGTGGAACTATTTTCCATTGCATATACAAAAGAGATCTGTCCAGTACTCCATAATATGCTAAAGTATTTAGACGTTTAGGTTCCCGTCCTCTAACTGATGTTTTTGTTTCTTCATCGTCAAGTAAAATAATAGGACCACGTCGGGGGCAACGCCATTCTAATGAATAAATTATTTTTTAGAATTTTGGATATTTGGGTAGAAATTACCCAAATCAAAATGTTCAACACATAAACGTCTTTGTGAAAAAGGCAAAGCCACATTTTTAGAATAAAGAGCATCTAACAATTTTGCCTTAGTCTGTCCAATAGTATCACAATCAAGAACTCGAAATTGGACAGGACTAGAAGGAATTAACAATTCCTGAGAACTTTCTGTTTCGTCCAAAGGAATAACAAATAAATTTAAAGTTTTAGCCTCCAAAGGTTCTCTTAGTAAAGATTGTTCAGCAATTGAATAACGTGATTGGCCTGTTATAGCATCAACTGGGCCCTAAAAAATATAAATTAGTTAAAATATTTTTATATTTTTTGCCTTTTCTGTGAGGGCTTTAAGTGCCCTATAAAGAAGAAAGAGAGGTCTTGCAGGTCCTCCTTCTTCGCTTTGTAGCCATGGAAGTAAGGAAATGCAAAGCCAATGTTGAAAAAGTTTTTCTACCAAAGATTCTGAATGACGAAATAAAAGGGGAGGTTGCTGAAAATTTAAGAAAAACTTGAAATAAAATTTTGTAAAAATTTTTTACATTATTTTGGTTTTGCAAAAGACAACAACGCTGAATATGTGCAGAAAGTAGAGAAAGTACAACATCAGAAAGAAATGCCCAATCACGGCCTAAAGTTACCAAAAGAAGAGAAGCGAGCATTGAACGTTCTGACGCTCTGAAAAAAATTTTTATTAGAATAATCTTAAAAATTTTCAATAGGAAATATGTATTATGTCTTTAATCAAAAGATATTTTCAAAGGATATTTCAAGGAAAAAACTTCTAAAACAAAAAATTCACCCCATATTATTATCTTCTTCAGCCATTTGTACAAGAACATAAAGAAAAGATCTATTTTGTAATAGAGATTCAAATTGTGCAAAAGCAACAGGTGATGGTTGTTGTAATGTTTGAACACCCAAAAATGTTGGGAAAGTTTCTCCTTTAAAAAGTAATCGAGAAATAAATTCTGAACGAGACAAAATTGGTGGTTGAATTAATAAATTATTTGTTGTCGGGGTTTGTATTGTTTTCTTATTTAAAGTTCCATTATTGTCATAATTTGAAGGATTGTCATCAAAATTAAGTAAAGTAGGCAATTTTCCATTCTCTATTACAGTGTCTAATTCAGAAAGAACATCTGTTTGGAGTTCAGCAAATGCCTGAAAAAGAATAAAAGAATACTATATTCTCAATTAAAAAATAATAATTAACACTTAAAATACCCTACTTGTTTGCATTCTTGCCGTACTTGACTTTCCATTTGTTCCATTTGTAATTGTATACGTTTATAGGACCTTTCATTTTCTACACCTTGACAACGCCGTCTTCTCCAACCCAAAAGTGCTGCTGTTACCGTTCCAATTGCAAGTAAAGCACATGCTATAGCTGCCAAAATTGCAGCTGCAGCAGCTTTTTGACGGGGAAGAAGACGTGCAGCAATTCCCTCTCCAGAATTCAACGAATTTTCTGTTGAATCTCCTCCCAAGTAGTCTAATGGGCCAATTTCAACACGCACACGGCCAACACGAACAACAACCAAAGGGCGGCCATCGGCCATTTCTGCACCAGAATCGTCTGTGGGTAATGGACGATGGGAGGGTGGACGACAAAGAAGGTGATCTGGTTCGAGAAGAAATACCTTGAAATTTAGAAAAGATTATTTTTTAAAGCAAAAAGAGAAATTAGGAAGAAAAAATCTTTAAATTTTAAATAAGATTTTCAAACTTACTGGACAACGTTCCATTCCAATAGTAACATAATACTCATCAGGATCAGCTGCCTGGCTTAGCCATTGTCCAGATAATTGAAGTGGTTGATCATATTGAAGTTGTTGCACACCAATAAATGGAGAGAATTGTGGGTCAGGAACTGTTGTTAACTAAAAATATTTTTCTTAATAATTAAAAACCTATTAGGCATTCCTCATTTTCGTGTTACCCCTTTATCTCTCATTCTCAAAAATTAATTAGATTTTAAATTAAAAAATTCCACTACCTGTATTTTATCTCCAAGATTTCTAACACTTTGTACCCCATCCATAGCAAAACCAATATTCCATCTAGCCATTTGTGAATGTCTTAATAAAGCTGTAGGTAAAGCAAGACGAGGACTTGAACAAATCATTTGTGTTTTATTTATTAATATACAAGTTCCAAGTTCACTAACTAATTCCCATTCATCAGGAGAGGCATTTGAAACAATTGGAGGTGAAAGAAGGAAAATTTTTGGTGAAATGATTGAATCGAAATTATTGCCAAATATCTGAAGAAAAAAATTAGGGATTCAAAATACTTTAAATTTATTACCGTTAAATTCCTTCCACCACCTTCAGGGGCTGTTCTAGGCTGTATATCAATTATAATTGGATCAGCTCTATATTCAAATCGAGCATCAGGAATTAAACGAACTGCTTTATCTATTTGTAGTCTAATAGCGGTAACTGTATAGGTCCGTCTAGTACTAGAGCCAGTTAAACATGAAAGTTGATCAGACTGCATTTAAAAGAAAAATGAATAATTTGTTAAATTTCTAGGGTAATTTTACATAAAATTAATAAATAATTAAAAATATATTTTAACAAAATTAACAAGTAAATTCACCAATCGTTCTTCTCCAACAATTTGACATTCCAAATTATCAAAATGTACGCTAACATTTCTTCCAACATTTAAATTCTTTCCAAAAATTTCAAAACGAGTACCACCACTTTGTGGCCCAAAATTTGGCTGAACAGAAATTGGTTCAGGACTTAAATAATTAAATATTCCATTATTATTTTGTTGTCTGTTTTCATCATTTTTTCCTTTAATTGAATCGACACTTCTACGTCCACTCCTTCCAATTGTTATTTTTATTGGTCCAGAAATTGGAGATAAAGAAGGGCCAGTCTCACAAAGAATTCTTTCAGAAGCCTCATAATGCTTTATTTGGCAAGGAATACCAGCAATCAAAACTCTGTCTTTTACATCTTGAAGATGGGAACCTAAATCACGACCAATAATTTCAACAAGTGTTCCACCCTCTAAAGGGCCGCTATTTGGTGAAAACTGAAAAAATTTTGTTGAAAATTTAAAAAAAAATTATCAGAATAAATTAATTGGAGGTAAAATAAATTTAAATGCAAATATTTTTCTTCAAAGTTATAGCGAGAATCTTTATTTACCCTAAACATAAAAATGTTCAACATTTTCCTAAAGCAATACTAAACCCCACCAAATTAATTCACTTTATAATAATCAAACAAAAATTCAATTTTATATTAAATCACCGAATAAATAGTTGGCGAAGTACATAATTCATCTGCAGCTGCAGTTCTAGAATCCCTTAAAGACGATGAACATTTTTCAACATGTCTGCATATTCCCCCACACCAAGAACAGCTATAAACTGGATCTAAAGCCATACAACGAGAACAATCTGTTGCCATATATTCACATTTATAGATTGAAACTAAAATTATTTTTGAAGAAATTTTCAGACTTTTACTCTTTCTTCTACCTTTTGTAGCATCAAATGGTTCTAAACCTGCTAATAATTCCAAAGTAAAATTCTTTATAGGCAGATGTTCCTTATAACCAAATAATCCAATAGGACAACGAACATTCTTTCCATTAGATAAAATTGAAGCTTTAATTAAAGACCCTCCATCCATTCGACAATTAAGAGGAATTGATGTTGAAGGCAAATTCTCAACCGAAAATTCTAATGATACATTTGAAGAGTCAGGTACAACTAATTGAAGTCCATTAGCTTCCAAAATTCGTGCACATCCATTATTTTGGGTCTTTATAAAAATATTTTGTAAAAATTAAGGAGAATAATCAAATAAGTATAATACAGCAAATAAAGTTAATAAAAATAAGAAAGTTTTACCAAAGCATGTTCTCGAGGGCATTTATTACTCCAGTCAGAAACATCTAAACATCGCTTTTCAGTTGCACACCAACGACAAGGCCATTTAGAAGAGGCACATGATGAACATCTTAGAAAATAAAACTTTTTGAACAAAATTTTACATAATTCCAAACAAACAATTGATGGAAAGAACATGAAAATAATGTTAATGTTGTTTTATTTTCATTTCCATTTTTAATTTCAATTAAATTAGAATTAGTTCCAACAACACGAATTTGCACATTTACACGTTGAAAGTCATTTACTGATAAAGTTGAAAAACTATAAAAAAACATTTTATTTTTAATTTAATGAACAAACAGAAAATTACTTTTCTAATATAGGAGTTTCACATTCAATTCCATCATTTACAAGTCGAACAGAAGAACGAAATGGAATTAAGGATGAAGGACTGTTATCTTAATTAAATTAGAGAAATATTTTTTATGGGAAGAAAAATTCGAATCCGAACTAGAAAAGGGAAAGGAGAAACAATTTTTGTACTTGGCCAAAATTTAGTTTAATTTAAATATTTTATTAATAATATCGAGGTTAGAGAGCACAGAGTAGGTTACTTTACTCATGACAATACTTCCGACTTTAGATATATGTCGATTAAGTTCATTTGAATCCTGAACTCTACAAGTTTAGGGAGGCTCTTTTTAATCCTTATTAAGAAATAACATTAAAACTTAAATATCCAGTTTTGTGTGGATAACCAAAAAAGGGAAAATATTTACATAAATTATTTATATTTAATTAAAAATTAATTTTACCTTCAATTTTAAAATATAAACATTCCAATTTAATTTTTCCTGTTTGAATTGAATTTGTCGGTAATCCAATAAGAGGTACAAAAATTTGTTCTTGTCTTTGAGAAGATGAAGAAATATTTTCCGGTCTAATATGTCCTCGAATATTAGGACAGTTTTTTAAATAAATGGAAGAAGTTAAAGCTGATGGAGATGGACAAGATGTTGAATGGGTACAACGACCTAATGAAAGGCACCTAAAAAATAAATAAATGATTTTTGAATAAAATAAGAATTTAACCAAGCACACAGAGGATCTCCAGAATTAATACAATCAGAACAGCTATAACCATTAAAGGATAATTCAAAATTATCATCACAAGAGGAGAGGCGAAGTAATAGAACCTTTTAAATAATTAAAAAAATTTAATTCTATTTTTAAGTCCCTCAATCATAAAAAATATTTTCATTTTATTTAATTTCCGTTTTTAGAAAAGAAAGAAGTTTCCTGTTCGCCATATCAGTAGGAGATGGGCCAAGATAAAGGGAAAAGAAATAATAGAAAATACCGCCAAAAAGTCTCAAAAATACCCCCAACTGTCATGGCTCATTAACCTCATTTGTGGGATGAGAATATTATAAATATAATTATTTTATAAAGGAAATACCGCTTTTCTTATCTCTATTTTGTTGGGGAATCTTTATTACGGAAGCAATCAAAGAAATTTTTAATAAAAATTATTAGGAATGAAAAATAAATAATTAAAAATTCTCCCAAAAAAACTTTTAATTATGGGAAGTTAAATAAAAAAAAATTTGTATTATTTTTAATTAAAAATTTTCTTAGAAGCTTAAAAATGTCAACAACTTAATTCTTAATTAATTAAATAAATTCCAAGTTCTTATTTAATTTAAGGAAGATTCTTAAACAATTTTTTAAATTTATTTTTTATTTTCCTCTAGATAATTTCTAATTAAATTCTGCTTTTTTTTAAATAAAATTAAAAGCTTATAATTAGCCTTCTAAAAAAAGCTTCAGGTTTTAAAGCCAAAAAAGATGTTTAAAAATTCTGGTTTTGTTATTTAAGTCTTTGTTTTTTTGTTTTTGTCTGCCTTTAAACACTTTTTCACCAGAGATATATTCAGAAGATAAGAAAGGAATGATCAGAAAACGGAAAAAATGTTTTATTAAAAAATTGTCTGATTTAAATGCTATGAGAAAATTTTTAAACAAATTTTATTTTATTGGGAGAAGTTGAATTTTCAAGTTAAAGTTGAATTGAAAAGAAGAAGTGTTGATTGATCCACTGAGATAAAAATTTTGATTAGCCTTTTCTCTTTAATATAAAACCTTTACTTCATTTAAATATTTTGAATTCTTCCAAAGTCTTTACAATACTATACTTAACAAAAAATAACAGAATTCCAAATAAAACTAAAAAAAGTTTCAGAAAAACAAAACAAATGATGCGAAAACTCAGATCAAAATAAAAATACCGCAAAGATCAATACAAACGATAATAACGGGAAAATAAAAAAATAATAATGCCGAGAAATTCATCATTGTCATTTTTTCATCATCTTTCCCCTTTTGTTTTACCTAAAATCCCGCTGAGTTTCGCAAAGTAAATGATATACAAGAAATAAAAAGAAGAATTTTTACATATTTTTAATTAATTAGAAAAACTAAAATTAATTAGGAAAGATAAAAGAGAAAATTAAAAGTGTAAAAACAAAAATTTTTAGAAGAAAGTTTATAAAAATAAAGACTTTAAGGCTGTTAAAAATATCGATAAAACTCTGAAGAATTAATTTTTTAAATTGGTTTTAATTGCTATTAAAATTTCGCCGAGTTTCGAGGTTAAATTATGATACATTTAGAAAAATATAAACTGGATTGTTTTATCTAATCAAAAATTCCGTTTTATGTTGCTAATCAAATAATTAAATTCTTTAAATATATAATTTATGGCGTAAATATTTATTGTTTACTTTAGATATACTCATAAAGTTATTACTAAAAATCCTCCAATCTTGATTAAAAAAAAGAATAAACATTGTAACGGTAACTACATAATAGAAGAGAAAGAATTAAGTATTTAATATTGTAAATGAGATTTTAAAAATCGACAATTTTCGACCTGGATCCCCGGTATTAATGTATCCTAGATAATGTCCTCTAGTAGTGATTATTATGAATATTTCCCTTGACTTCCACACTCTTAGTTCAAAATTTCGAGAGTTAAAATTTAACAAACTTTTTACTTTCATTGTTATTATGTTATTTGATCCTTTTTTATTTTATTTTTGTATTTTTTCTTAAATATTTACATATGTATTATTTACACATTTTCGATGTTCTTTTGTTATATTTTTATTTATTTGGTGGTTAAATGAAGTAAAGAGGAGTGAACGGAAATATAGAGGGAAATGAAGGGGGATTTGGCACCTTTAAAGTAAGTTTATTTGAAAAGTTTGGATGTTTTTGTTTGTTTATTTACTTAGCCTTGTTTTTATAGTTATTGGCTCAAAAAATTTTTAAATGAAAATAAAAAGAGCTGTTTATTTACAAAGAAATATTAAATAATAAAAATTTAAATTTCCTCTTTTAAAAGCAAGAAAAGACAAATAAACAGGACAGCATATTTAAAAATAATTTTAATAGAAAATTATTTTTGTTCCCGATCATTTCGTGTAATCAAACAAAGAATTTTGGAAATAAAAATTAAACAAAACTAGCATTTAATTTTTAATTCACTTAACTGGGCCTCTTTTCTTACTTAAAATTTTTAATTTTGAATAACAAATTTAACCATATTAAATAATTATAATGGTTTTAAAATTAATATTTACTTACCTCTTTCCCAGCACTCAACAAAAATCGTTGTTTTTCACTAATTATTGCTATTCTTTCGATAGGATCAGCAACAACACGATAATCAGCATAAGGTTGAAGGCGACGAGTTGCACGTTCTCCAATTACCTTCATCTAGATTTTTAAAATTTTTTATTTAATTTTCCCTATCTATAAAAATATATTTCCAAACCCCCCCCCCCCCCCCCCCTCCCCTTTCTTTTAACAATCCCCCCCCCCTCCCCTCGCTTTCAATGTCAGTGACCCATAAAAGAATTGCTCAAATCCATTTTTTCTCAACATTTCCGGATGGCATTGGCGCAAGTTTAGGAAAAGAGAAAGACTTGGCACTTTCAAGAATAAATGGAAAATTGGAAACAATAGCAATACTAATTGAGTCAATTTTCCCACAATATATTTATGCTTGAATCCAGAAGAAACAAGCAATCAGAGAAAATTGCTATTTTTTATTATTTTTTTAGATTTGAATGAATTTTGGAGAAAAATATTTAATTATAATTTAAAATCACCCCTTAAGAATGAAAGGAAAATAAGAGAATATGAGGTAGGCTATGAATGGAAACTTCCCTAAATTTCTTACTTACTAAATGGTTAAATTGAGATTTAAGTTGGGGATATTCAAGGCCTAATCCTTAAAATTCAATCATGTTAAATCCAAAAACAAAACTTACAATAAATATATGTACATAATTTCATTGTTTATTACTACTACTTAAAGATTTAATTCAAGAAAAAACTTTAATTATTTATATTTTTAATAATTTATTATTATTTCCTTTATAGTTTTAAATCTTATTTTCTCTTTTCTAGCTTAAAAGCCCACAGATGTGTGAAGGCAAAAACAAAACAAAATTAATGACTAGAAAGGCGACAGAAGGCTTAAGGATTTTTGAATATAAAAGTACTCCACAAACTAAGAAGGAAGTAAATATAAATAGAAGAACGGTAACAAATTCTAATGGCAAGGATTTGTGTCAGTTTTTGAGAGAAAGGAAAAGCATTCAGCGAGAATTATTAATGATTTAGTTGACCTTTTTAATTTAAAAAAAGAAAATATGTTGAGAAAATGGAAAAGCTTTATCTGAATTCAGAGTAATTGTAATTCTCTTCGAGAAATTATAGGGGAGGAAATGTCTAGAAAGGAGGGATATTACCTCTACATGTTTTTTTGTCTTTTCTGAACTCGTATTCAAAATTAATTTTAAATAATTTTTAAGTAATCTTTTAAATAATAAAAGTTACCATACCTGAATTACTTCCCCATTCTTTGTTCCAACAACAACCAACAAATGATTATCAACCTCTGCAACATCTAAAGCATTCAGAATACGTCCAGGAAAATGTGCCAATGCTGGTGCTGATGCTTCAATGGCGCCACCAACCCCAATAAGGCAAGTATCCTCAGAGAGAGGCAAATGAGAACGCTTAAAAAAATTTTTAAATAAAAATAATAAAATAATTATTTAATTATTTAAATATTTATTTTTATTTATTCTCCCCTCAAACTCGAAACTCCTCACAAAATTCCTCATATTTTTATTTAACCACCAATACAAAACTAAAGAAAAAAGACAAAAAACCGCATATAAATAACAAACTCATTAATTTCCCCAGAGATTTTCTTTTTCCAATAAATTTATTCGGCATTTATTTTTTTTCTAATTTACAT